TATTTTTTGCTCAAATGTTTAGTTTAGCAGGTTGGGCGAGCGGTTGGGCGGGAACAATTTGGGTTGGGCGCTCGCCCAACTGCGCCCACCCCTGGCGCCGCCACTGATACTACGATTCAGCACATCTCCCAGTTTGTGATGTTCTGAATCATAGTAGAGAATGGTGTAGGGTATGCGCGACCGCAGCAGGCCATACTTTACTACGATTCAGAAAATAGTATTCTAATTTGAATAATTTAAATTCAAAGGTAAGCTATCCAACTACAATTATTGTAGTTGGATAGCTTACCTACAAATACGCTAGCTGCACGCCTTATCAATAAAAAACAAATTATTATTTTAAATTGGTATTGACATGTCACCAGTATCAAGAGCTTTGTCCCGGTGGCGTATTGGCATTGTGTACTACGATACAGAGCCATAGTGTTCTGAATCGCAGTAAGGATTGACAAAATTAAACGCCACTAAGTACAATACAATCCATACTACGATTCAGCACATCTCCCAGTTTGTGATGTTCTGAATCATAGTAGAGAATGGTGTAGGGTATGCGCGACCGCAGCAGGCCATACTTTACTACGATTCAGAAAATAGTATTCTAATTTGAATAATTTAAATTCAAAGGTAAGCTATCCAACTACAATTATTGTAGTTGGATAGCTTACCTACAAATACGCTAGCTGCACGCCTTATCAATAAAAAACAAATTATTATTTTAAATTGGTATTTATTTATTAATAAATAATATTAAAAACAAACTAGGTACTCTCTGCAGTTTTAATAATAAATATACATTAACCCAAAGGAAAAAAATCATTTCAAACTTATTAACAAAAAGATCGTTTTACCCAAAAATTTTGCAAGTATCAGATATAAACGTACCACAACGGATTTAAATAATATTTGAAATAGTTAATAGGCTTTTTTTTCTACTTTTACATAAAACTATTAATTTTGCAAAAACATAAACATAAAATATACATAAATAAGAAATTTTATTTTATTGTATTGTATTGTATTATATTATATTATATTATATTTTGTATTGTGTTGTTTTCTTTAATAGACACAAAATAAAAATACATGATATGTATAATATGATATAATAATTTAAAGTTATATTTAAAGTTATATTTTTTATTTTTTAAATATATAAAATCCTTTGCTTTTTTCTCATATATTTAAGAAAGAAAAATAGAAACATGAGGGCATTAACTACTAAAATATTTATAAAAATCTATTAAGGATTGTCGATGATAAAGCCAAATAAAATTTTAGGGTAAAACGATCTTTAAGTTAATTAACTTGAAAAATCGATAATAAAAAATAAATATTGTCAGTGAGATTTTTGGTTGGGTCTGTTTCACTACTATTAATTAATTTCTAACATAACCTATAACTCTGGCTTATTACTTTATGCGTGCGGCACATAGCCAATATTTTCTGAATCGCAGTAAAGTATGGCCTGCTGCATTCGCGCAAACACTTCAACATTCTCTACTATGATTCAGAACATCACAAACTGGGAGATGTGCTGAATCGTAGTATGGATTGTATTGTACTTAGTGGCGTTTAATTTTGTCAATCCTTACTGCGATTCAGAACACTATGGCTCTGTATCGTAGTACACAATGCCAATACGCGTCCCGGTTTGGGCTTCAAATGTCCCGGTCTGATGCCACCAGCTACCTAACTTCATAATATATCAAAATTCTTCATTGTTGTGAAGCGAGTAGTGGAAGATAAACGAGAGCGCACAGAACATAAGACGCTTCGTTAAACAGAGCTATCAGATTGTTGGTTATTTTTTACTTTAGTGATCGCATATTGGTGTTTAAAGGAATTAATATACTTTATTGAATCATTTATAATAAGGTAAGGGTTGATTTAAACAGTCAACTGCCAGAACGAAAGCTACCGCAATAATAAAAAATATATTGGGACCTCATACAATTTAACTTATTAAAAATGACCTACAAAACATCCCTTTTTACAGAATACTTACTGACGCTAGCAATCACAAGTCAAATAAATTATTCCCCCTTCTAATTCGGTATTTTTACCGAATGAAACTTCAGAAAGTATAGTTAATTTCTGTTTGGATGCAATAAATGAATGTAATATACCATTACATAAATTAACGGCATATAGTGCGGACAATACAAATACCAATTTTGGAGGCCGAAACAGACAGGGAACAAATAATGTTTTTATTAAATAAAAAACGTCACTTTCTAGAGAAGTCGAAGGTAATAATAATAATAATAATTTTATTAATCCAACGACTTACATGAGTATAGGACAGGTCAAGTAAAATAATATTTAGGTGTGTTTACAAAAATGTTTGTGTATAAATAAAAGAAAATATTTAGAATTAAAATGATAAAAACATTATATAATAAATAACAAGTAACATATATGGGATAAGATATTTACACTTTAAAATTACACGGAAAAAAACTTGGTTGTCCAGCTCACATATTGCATAATGCAGCTTCCACCGCTGCTGATATTTTTTCATTAGATATCGAATCGATAGTGATCAAAATTTATAAATACTTTTCAATATACACTGTTCGTAATGAACGATTGAAATCGTTTTGTGAGGATGCTGATATTACCTATGCCAGTTTATTATCGCATTCAAGAACAAGATGGCTGTCCCTGCTACCAGCTATTGAACGCATGCGTTTTAAATATGTGGCAACCTGTGAAGAGATTTTTTCTTGCCGAACAAAAGTCAAAAGTGTTGGTGGGCTTTTTTTCACATCCTCTTTTTGAAGTGTACCTATAGGTAGAAAGTATACTTTCTATTTTTGCATAGCCAATCTTTTCTGTTTGAATAGCAAATTAAGAGAATTGAAAAATCACATATAACCATAACAGAGGTAAACGAACTTATTCAAGATCTGGAAAGCACTCTGTTGGAGCGAAGTAAGTCAACATTTCTTCGAATCCAGACGAAAAAGGAGTACGACAAAATTAAAAGAGACCCTCAATTTACTGATACCATAAAATTATTTGACGGTGAAATTAAGGATTATTATAAAACAGCATTACGACAGTGGAGTGCTCCTCTCGTCAAATTCAATGTTTTTTCATGGATGACCAGATTGGGAAGAAGTTGAAAAAACTATATCCTATTTACAAGAAAAAGGTTTAACCATCAATGATTGTTGTTTTGAAGAAGTATTGTACTTGAAAGATTTCATTACTAAATTAGAACATGATCCGGTCTGGAATGCTAAATCTATGCATGATAAATGGTTGTTTTTTTTTCAGCAAACTGGTATTAAAGAGCAAAAGGCAAATTTACTTTTGATGTGCCAATATTTATATGCTGTTCCTGGCCATAATGCAGGTGTTGACAGAATTTTCTCTTTGTTAGTTTCACAGTGGACCAAAGAGCGAAATAGGCTTTCTTTAAAAACTGTTGAAAGTATAATGTTTTGCAAAGTAAATTATAACATCACCTGTTCAGAATTTTATAAGTAGGTATGTGAAAATTCAACCGGAACTACTAAGGCAAGTTAGCAAATCTGAAAAAAAAGATTGGCATGCGAAAGAAAAATTATTAGTGAGATTTTTTTTAAACCAAAGAGTTTGGTAATTTTTTAAGTTTCTTATTTGGTTAGGTATTTTATGTTTTATTTATATTATATTTTTATTATTTAACAAAAAAATTAATTAGTTGAGTATTTTTTTCACATTTTATGTCAAAACAAAACTAAACTTTTTCGAACCCACCATTATTATATATTTTCACTAATCCTAACTTATTTGTCGATTGTTATGGTCATTTTTACAAAAATGTCCCGGTGACCGATGATCCGCTTATAACGTTTTGTACCACGATGCCATTTTAAACTCGATTTTCAATGATTTACCCTATTTATTTATAGATAGGTAGGTTGTGTTTATCATGGTTGCTAGGAATAACGCGTCGGTAAGTAATTACTTACCTGTGGAGACAGTTTTCGAAAAATTGTTGTTTAATACTTGTATGCAAAAGTGGCATTTCGCAATCCAGCATCAATAACTATCTAAGTTTACTTTTACATAATATTTATTAGGTGTTAAAACAACAGTTTTTTATCTACAGAACGTAAAAGTCTTGCAATTTTGTTCATCAGTTTTTATTTTTAACTTTAACATTTTATTGACAACTTTCCGCTTGTATTAAAATAACTATTTTATACAATGCTGCGGAAAGTTGCACTTTTCTGCACGCTTTTAAAAAAATGTTTTCTAAAAACTATTGTACCGAACTTCGCTACGCTTTGTTCGTAGGATATTTGCAATCGGCTGTCGCATGCGGAAAAGTAGCACTTCTCGCACTAGTTAGGTAAATAACTATTTACATTAATTGCTATCATTAATTTTTAAAATATGTGCAGCAAATTGTAAATGACCTACTTGTCAACATGTTCTCATCACATTTTTAGTTATTTTTAAACTGTAGGATACAGCATTAAAAATTACTATTGCAATATTACCTAATATATAATATATATATATATATATATATATATATATATATATATATATATATAATATACAATATTGTATTTATTTGTGTGCACTATACATTGTATTTTATTGTTACCTATTTTTAATTTACCATATCGGCTAATGAATAGTAAACTTACATGTTAATTTTTAATTGAACTACGTCCTTGCTAATGAAACCACGTGTTGAACAATGTTAGCGCACAAAACAAAATACAATTTAGTTTTGAACGGCAATTTAAAAAATAATTACAATTTTATGTTTCAACGACACTATTTGTATGGATATTTATTTATAAACGCAAATTAAAATGTTTGAATTTATATTTAATTATACTAAAATTTAATTTAAGGCATTTTCCGAAAACAATTAAAACTTAAGAGAACCTTAATTTGTTTTTGTTGCAAATTTAATTACTTTGTATAAGTATTTTTCATGATTTGACTTAAATATAAGAAGGTCCGTGGAGGGTTAAATAAAACTACGTAAATTTACTAGTACCTAAACATCTTTACCTACAATTTTTATTAAGGTAATATAAAAATGGAAACAGCAATAAATGTGTACATGTCGTTTGCAGAAGGAATAAACTAAACGTATACATTTTTAACAAGCTAAAAAGCCACCATCCACAGGCAAACATGTTCCAGTTATCATAGAGGCTTTGTCGCTTAAAAGAAAAATAACTGCCTCAACTACATCTTCTATTTTGGCAAATCTAAAAAGAAAAAAAAAATTATATATTTAAAACATGTTTATAATTTAACATGGGTGATGCATATTTGTATTGATTTTTTTACCAAAGTATTACCACTAGTATATCAGGGCGGTCCAACCTGGTAGAGCCATTAACTGGTTTTTCAAACGGTTTTTGATTGAAACTAAGAAAATGGTTTTAAAAAAATGGATGTGTAGTCGTACAATACGCAATAGAAGTAAAACTTTTCCGCAGTATTCACAATCATTTCAGGAAAGGGATAAGAAAATTGGTTAAATTGGTGAAATAATTTTTAATCTGTTTAATATTTAGTTTGAATTAATTATTGTTCTGTCAGACACGAAACAATAGGCTTATGATAATAAAAGTATAAAATAAACATTTTTAATTTTAATTTGCCTAAATATCTAAAAATAGATATTTATGTCATAAGGCTGAGAAGTAAGTCTTTTTGTGTTGAACTCAAAGTTTGAATTGGACAATTCAATAAAGCACAAAAATACACGTCTTAAACAAATGGCATACAACATTTTATCTTTAAGGCACAGTTTTATTTATTAAACGATACATAAAACGTAGGTGGGTACTTATTCTTTGGATAAAAGGCATAAGGGGATAAGTAAAAAAAAACATTTTTTCAGTAGAGCCTTAAACGTATTAGCATTAATTCAGGAAAAATATTTATGGTTAGCGGTTATACCCTTTTGTTAGCACATTTCATATGCTAACAAAAGAGTATACCCGCTAAACATAAATATATTTCCTGAATTAATGCGAACACGTTAAAGACTCTATTGAAAAATTTCTTTTTTTGACTCATCCCCTTATGCCTTTTACCCACAGAATTTTAATAACAATTATTAAACGTATAAAGTGACGTTAGATAGCTCAGAACTGCCATCAGTTATATATAATTGGATTTTGACAGAATATGATGTAAAAAGCTTCACCTGGTTTGTCTAAATTATTTTTACAGCCTAGGAGATAATCGAATACAATAGTAGTGAGCGTTGACAATAATAAGGCTTAAATTATAGAACGCTTGAAGATATGTCTACTGTAGTGGATATTCATTTTTCAGTTCAGGATCTTAAAAATCTATCTAAGGTTTAGTAAAATTAAAATTAAAATCTCCACTTAAGATGATAGGTAATTGAGAAATATGTTTTTAATAAATCATATCTTAACAAATTAATTTCTTGTGACCCACACTTCGACAGGGATTCTCAAAACCTGGTAGAAATAAATAAAATAAAATGTAAAAATAACCATTTTTACCACTTAACTTATATTACTGGCCCATCTTTCGGTAGTATTTAAAAGTTCGCCCCTGATCGCCACTAGATTGCGCTATGTTTACCATTTTACACATACTTCCACACAGTATGTGGAAGTATGTGCCATTTTAATGGACAAGGGCTTCGCGTAACTTATTCCTTTGCCTATTTAAAGTGTACGAAAGCGTACTGAGGTCACAAAATAATAATATTTTTTTTCTTCAATTTATTGAAAAATTCCAATATACTGGAAATAAATTTAATGCATATGGGTATTGAAAAAAAAATCCAATATTTATCACCACTAGCGGTGCTGATTTCCATTTTGTACTGACATGTTTATTAATAATTATAATTATAATAATTATTGAATGTTTTATGCAAACTAATATTATGTAGTAAACTGTGCTGCCGAGACAAACAAAGCCCCTGTACAATATACTAATCAAGAATAACATAATATTTAAATTGTTAAAATCAATAAACATCATTATTTGAGGCCTGTCAGAGCAAAGTCAACAATCTCCCGTCAGACTAAAACTGAGTAAATTGAGATAATTGATTTTGGTATATGAAATTCTAGATTTGTATTTTTTTATATACACTTCGCGTCAAATTTATCGCACCACTAAAAATTTGTCACAATTTCATAGTTGATTTTCTCGCGAACCGTCAAACAGAATTTGGTGATTTTTTTATTAAATTGTAGGTTTATTCTTTGGTAATAATACGTTTATTGAAATATTTTTTCAAAATTACATTTTGAGTATATACAGGGTGCACGAGTGATAATACGTTTTTTCCCGGAAATTTGAAACGCCCTGTGGGTTGTACCAGCTTTAACAGCATTCGACAAATATAATTAAACCATAGCCCCATATTTTTTTATCATTTTGTTTTTTGATTCACGTCGTTATATCTTTTTTTAGATGGGATATACAGTTAAATACTAAATAACTCCAGTTTAATGAAAAATGAAGGAACTTAAAATAGATAGGTCATGGTAGGTCAGAAACTGTCATTTTCATTTAAGTTGTCTGCATAATTTTAATGGAGCGCCAAGTGAGAAATTTGAATCGGGATGAATGTGTAAGAAATATTACATTGGCCTAGCAAGGATTAAGCTACCGTGCCATAGCTACGAGATTGGGATTCATACCTGAATTTCATCGAATGACAACAGCCGTACATGATCGTTTCCTTTATTTGCATGCTTTGAGAGAACGATTTGTAACAGCAAAAAATCTAGGTACAACTTAATGCTACTCATAATTTTCAAACAAGACCACCATAAGAAGTCGTCTTACGGAACAGAATTTGAGCTTCAGAATTCCAGCAACAGGACCGAAGTTAAATGCAAATTATCGTAGAGCAAGACTGCAATTTGCCAGACAACATGTTGGCTGGAATATTGAGAATTGGCAGCTAGTTCTATTTACAGACGAGTCCAGGTTTTATTTATTCAGCTCTGAACGGCGAGTAAGGGTTCTCCGACGTCCAAATGAGAGATTCTCCCCAAGTAGCACAATTAGTTAAATTAACGTTAAATTTACGTTATGACTAGTTAATTCATTTAAGTAATATTGTACTACAACGTTGAATTAACCTTAAATTAACGATATTTTGTAATAAGTGGGGAATTCAATTATGGTAAAATTAACGTTATGTTAGTTAAATGTAACTTCTTGGTTAATGTACCTTTTGGTTAACAAGAAGTTAATATTTGGTAGTTTATGGTTTATTCTACCCTTTTTTAACTACTTTTTAACTCTTAAGTTCACTTAAACTATAATTAACCGGTTTAAGTTTATTTGAACTATATAATAATTAAATATGGTTATGTATATCTATAGATATGACTTACAGATCCTTAGAATAAAATGTCGCCCTAAATATTAATACTCATATATAAATATATATATTAATTGATGTCTTAATGTTTAAAGGGAAAAACCAATGGGGTATTTTTTTTTTTTGATAAAATAGTACATAATACTTTCATATTTTAAATGCGCTTTGAAAAAAATAAGAAATAAAGAAAATAAAAATTAAAAAAAATATTTTTGGTTGCCTAATTTTTCTTTATTTTGTTTAAAATTGATTTAAAATACCTTTAAACATAAAATAATATTATGTTTTATTATTGGTTTGTTTACATTACCTTATTTTTGGAATAAAACAAATTATTAAAATTAATGGCGTTTCCTTTTGTTAGAATGGACAGCAAACAACATGGCGATTTTATGATGCTTTTACTTATTGGTTACATAACCAATATAAATTAACCTGCAAGTTTATTTAAACCATTTGGTTATTTTATTGTGTTTAATTTAACTACTTTATTTACCTATCAGTAATTTATAACTCTTTGGTTTTGGTTTAAATTCGGTTAATGTAACACATTATAGTTAATAATTACCAAAATTAGTTAAATTAATCTAACTTGTTATTTTAAAATAACTAACCTAAAAAAATTCCCGCCGATTTTAATAATAATAATATTTATTTACGGTAAATAACCATTACAAATTACAAATATATATATAGGAAACATACATGTTATATAAATCAATTTACAAGATCACAGAGGTTATATGGAAGATTTAAATTTATATAAACTATTATTAAAGAAATCTATATCTATCTTATTTGCCAATCTACACATTCTGTTGACAGGTGAATTAAAGCCATAGTTTGTGGAGTGCGTGACTTCCCGGAACAGATAATGATTCCTTACGCGCCTTTGAGGAACATGGAACTGAAGTAAACTGAGTAGTTCAGGGCAATTTATGATATTGTTAACCAATTTAAACAGAAAAATTAGGGCTGATTTGTCGCGACGTTGCTCAAGGGATTGCAGACCCATTATCTGTCTTAACATACTGTAATCTATTTGTTCACAATTTATACCTAATTTATATGCACAAGTTTTGAGAAATTTATTCTGGACTCTTTCAACAGTACTAACATGAACGTTGTAATAAGGCGACCACACAATATCACAATACTCCACAATAGATCTTATATATGAGACATACACTGATTTAAGACAATAAACATTTTCAAACTCCAAAAGCTGTCTTCTCATAAATCTGATTTTAGTTGCAGCACTGCTTTATTTTTATATCTGTTCTGTTATAAACGTGTTTAATATAATATATACCCTGTGATCTGTAAGTTTGCCTAATCAAAGGTAATAAAAAATGTATTTCTTGTAGGCTCCATTATCACACTAAACTCACAACAAAAGGTTTATATATAAAGCTGTATTGAGACAAATTTTTATATACAGGTAACAATGAAAACTGCAAAACCATCACTTTTTTAACCAGTTTATTAATTAACGTTAATTCACCAGCGAGTTAAAATATATTTGGTAAAATATAACTTGTTGGTTAAAAAAATATATCCAAATTAACCAAAGCTGTGGTTAATTTACCAAAAAGTTAAATTAAAAGTTAAACTAAACCTAAATATGTCTAAAAAAAATAACTACTCTTAACTATTTTCAATAGTTAAAATTAGCAGTTAATATAACGTTATATAACTTCTAAAATAACCTACTTTTTATCTTTTAAGTAATATAACCAACTAGTTAAATATTTGGTTTATTTATAGTCAATTTAAACTCTTGAAATATCCTTAATTTACCTAACGGTAAATTTAGGTTATTTCAAGAGTTTAAATTGACTATAAATAAATTTTCGAATTCCAGTTTTTTTCGTTATTCATTATAATATTTTTTGTATTTTCTGAGAACATTCACCATAGTAATGTATATTTTTTTTTACACCATCAGAAAGTAGAGAGTTCATCGAACAAAAAGCACACCGACTTTTTGAAAAAAGCTGATATTTTGACGCGAGAATTTTCGATTGAGAATTAGGGTGCTTTTTTGATATTAAGTCAAAATAAGGCGAAATAATAAATATTTCAAATCAAATAAATTACAGTGTATTTGGGACATAAAAAGGTAAGTTTTCACCAAATTTCGTGAAAAAAATTTTTTTTTTTGAAAAAGATAAAAATAAAAAACCAAAAACTTGGTTTTTTGAATTTTTCACATAAATTTTAAGGTTATGTGAAAAAATTGTAAATACAAAAGTTGTAGATCTTTTTATTACCTACAACTTTGACATTTAACTTTTTTCCATGGGACTTGTAGTTTTGCCGGAAATCGAGATAAACCATTTTTTACCCTTAAACCCCCCCCCTCCCACTTCCCGAACTCAGATCGCCCGTAATTTATATTTCCATTAATTTTTATTATATTCCCCTCCTTTTCCAATGGGTTTCATCATACTGTTATTTTTTTTTTCTTTTTACCATTTTTAAAGGCTTCTGCACTGGTCTATATGCTCCATGACACTCTATGATCTATATTTTCCAAAGTGGCGCCTTGGGGCGGCAAATCTCTGTACATTTGTTTTAAATAACCTTTGAACTCCATAACAGCCATAAAAGAAGTTTATGCATATTTAAGCATTTTTTTAAAACTCAAGATAAAGTTTAGATTTGTGTAACGCATTGTATAACAATAAAATTTAAATACGTATTGGTATTAAGTTAACCGGGCAATTTGCAAGCTTAGTTATCATATAAAATAAAACTATAAAAAAATATATAAGTTTTTGTTAAGGTATGAAGTTATGCTGTTTAATTTGTAATAGTCAGTTTAATAAGGAAAATAACAAAAAACATTCTTTATGAAAAACGCCTTCTGTACTGTTTAGTATGTTGCCAAAAAAAAATTGTTATGCTTATTTTTAACAAATTTGAAGTTTTTGGGAGACATTTAAAAAAAAATGATATCAAGTTAGTAATTTTGCATAATTGCTGTATGTCCACTAACATATATGAGCTCGATCCACTGTGTTTCGCCCCGTACATCGCTAATAATTTTTTACTGATGCAGGATAACGCAAGACCTCAGACCGCTTATATAGTGCAAGAGCACTTACATGAGGTGGGTGTTGAAACTTTAGACTGGCCTGCAAATAGTCCGGAACCCAACCCCCATTGAGCATTTTTGGGATAATATGGGTAGACGACTAAAAAATCATGATCCCTTGCCAGCCTCCCTTGATGACGTTGCAAATATGCTACGAGAAATATGGAATGTCATTGATCAAGGCGAGATTAGACATCTGGTTTCGAGTATGAGCCGTAATTAGAAGTAGAGGCGAAAATACGCGATATTGATATTCTTTAATGTTGGTATTGTTACAATCGTTATTTTTATTTTTTTTTATTAAACTGGAGTTCTTTATCATTTAACTGTATATTTCTTTTAAAAATAAAGATAACGCGGTGAATTAAAAAAACAAAATTTTAAGAGAAGATGGGGCTATAGTTTGATTATAAGAGACATATGCTTATATAGCTAGTACAACCCACAGGGCGTTTTAAATTTACAGGAAAAAACTTATTATTACTCTTGCACCCTGTATATACTCAAAACGTAAATTTGAAAAAATATTTTAATAAAGGCGTCATAACCAAAGAATAAACCTACATTTAAAACAAAAAGTACCAAATTCGGTTTGACGGTTCGCGAGAAAATCAACTTTAAAATTGTGGCAAATTTGTAGTGGTGCGTTAAATTTGACGCGAAGTGTATTATATTGAAATATTGTTGTTGTTAGTCTAGTAGCCAACTACAAGGTCTCCAGGATGCATAGTATAGGTGAAATCTATAATTATAAATTGGAGATTGCTGACATTGATATGAATTAATGAAGATTGCTCATTTTGTTGTAAACGTTTAGAAAAATAAACAAAAAAATAATTGTATTTTTCTCCCTTTAATGGTTATAAAATTTAACTATACAATCAATGTGGGAAAATTCTGAACTGGACCACATAAATCTGGAGTTTCTACTAAATCTGGGACCAGGTTGCCTCGTGCAAAATTTTTTTTATAGTACAACTCATCATCTCCTTCCCACTTTGCCCCGTAATGTTTTACTTGCAATGTTTTGCCATTATCAGCCTTTTCTTGCTTTACCTTTACGTCTTATAATAAACAAGATAACTTTTTTTTTATAATTCTTAAAACAATAAAACATAGATTTACCTATTATAAATATATTTTTTAAGTGCAATTTACTGCAATAGAACTTAACAGTATGTACCAGTAAAAAAAAACAAAATTAAATCTCTAAAATACGTTATAACATCAAATTTTAGGATATCAGGTGACACAAATTACTAATTTTTAATGGTGGAATTGGAGATTGTATACTTTGCTGCAAATCTATCAGTGGAGATTGTCGACTTTGCAATAAATGTCATTTTTAAAATAGGTTTTTAGGCAGGATTTAGCTCCTTTTGCAGCACATAAACTTTATCATCTTATAGATAATTAGTTGAATTGAAAAATCTAATTTTTGACCAAAAGTGGAGTAGTCGGTTTTGCTATGACAGGCCTCATTTGTCCTTTATTATTTACTGCGGGGTAGTGATCGATATTATCGTTTTAAGAACGGTTAATTGTCAGATTAATTATTTGATTTGCTAAATTTTAATTACAACCAGTGGCTTAGCTAGGCCTTTTTAGGGAGGGCTGTAGCCCCCCAAGTCGTTCTCCAGCCCCCCTCAAGGGCATGCACTACTTGTTTTTTTATATTTAATACCTGTCCTGTTTTTATATTTAATACCTGTCCAGGGTGTACCTGTCTTTCGGTTCGCTTAAATGGTAAATGTAATGTTAATTGTCACATAATACAATTAATTTCGTCATGGCAACGTGCACATATATTATAATATATTATAAAATAAATTTTAAAATATATGTTTGTAAAGTGTAAACAGCAGCCTGCGCCTGCAGTTTCCCATGCCCATAATATAGGGCTTAGCCCCCCTAATGTTACATCCCTAGCTACGCCACTGATTAAAACCATACCAAGGTCATGATAATTAAATCTCAGGTTTTTTTCTCTAATTATTTTTCCTGTATTAAAAATATGTTTATTGACAACAGTACCAACATAATCAAAAGTTTCATAATTGTTTCTGGCATATTGGCAGATTTAAGTAAAAGTGTCAAATTATGAATAAATAATCAAACTGTACTTGTGCAAGGGAGCTCCTGGATCCGTCCCTGATTATAATAATTAACTCTGTTTTTACACGTTTTTAAAAGTTTACCTATTCATGGGAATTTTAGCCAACATTGGTTCACTTTTTTTTGGAGCCGACCAAACTTTCCTGCCCAATTCTGTCATAACAACGGTGGGATTCACAGCGTTAATTCTAATATTTTTTGGCCCAAATTCCAAGGCAACGGCCCTAGTAAAGGCATCTACTGCCCCCTTACTGGAACAATACACTGAGTGTTCGAATAAGGCTGCTTGGGAAGCTTGCGAAGAAATATTTACAATAGATCCTGGAGTATTTGTGGATGTTAGGTTTTCTATTACTGTTTGGGTTACGTTGAATACGGCTTTAATATTTACGTCAAAAGACCTAAAAAGATAAATAAATGAAGTATATTTTAATTAATTTAAAGCTCCTTTACTCTATTTGAACTTTGTGTTTGCGTTATTTTTTTGTGTTTTAAAACTGATTCAATTAAATTAAATTTCGTAGAAAAAATTTCAAAATTAAATAGGGATATTTTATTCACAAAAAACCTCAAGACCTTAAAATTAACTATGATTTTCAGGAAAATTAAGTAAATTGGATTTAATGGATACATTTATAGTTTAGGCATATATTAATGAATTAGGATAGTTATATTTACACATCAAAATTTTTCTCAGAAACTTCCAAAAATGGTTCTACAATTGCAACACCAGCATTATTAACGAGATGGTTGATTGGAAAGACAGATGTAACCGCCTTTTTGGTTGCATTCCAGTCTTTAAGATTTACAGAGATATTTTCAATTTTTGGAAACTCTTGTTTTAATTGGCCTAGAAAGTAAAATTAAAAAATATACATTAAAAAAACATTAATTTACCAAGTTTTTCCGTAGATACATCCAGAGCCACAACTGTTGCACCAAGTTCCACTAATCGTTTGGTTATTCCATATCCTATACCTATAACAAAAATCGTAATAAGCCCGTATTACAGTATGTAATTTTACTTGCAGACATCTTTCTTGCATGCAAGTTTTATTGCTGACCGCTTTACACGAAGCAAGTCTTAGGACTTGCATTCCAAAAACCAAACGTTTACACGATGGCAACCTTCCAAAATTGACAAAAAATGAGAATATATTAAAAATAATAAAATCAGGTACCGTAAACACGGGTGGCTTTAGCTCACTTTCAAACTTAAAACATTTTTGTAGTTTTAACAATCATAAACATTAAATATTGTATACCAAAATTTGAGTCTTGAGTTGCTCTTTCATAATTATGTTATAATCTTACATAGGGCTGAGTTTCAAAAATTAAAATTAAAAACTGGGTGTGCAAAGTTACCCCCTGGTTGCGGGTTACTTTGTCTCACAGTGTATTTAAATTAACTCAATATTTTATTTTATTTTTATTAGACATAATATGTTAGCAGCGACATAAAGCAATTGCAAGGGATTACCGATAGAAACAATAAAAAATCGACCTGTAGTTAACCAAAGATTATCATTCCAAAGAATTGTGCATAATATAGAAATTGAAACGCGTGTATTTTTAAGAGTTTTGCACTAATGCAATATATGTATAGAACTTTAAAGTGTAATAAATCCCATTTATTTTCACAAAACCCGCGGGGTGCAAAGTCCCCGGTGTATACGGTAATCATTGACAGTGGCGGATTTAAGAAAAAAGGAAAAGTTTTAAAGATAACTTAAATTCATGGTTAAAGAAATTATAACATTTCAGCTGGGGGCATGGGCGCCGGAAGGAATTCGTCTAGGGGGGGGGCCTTAAAGTTTTTTACAATTTTGATAGATGTTATTTATAATCAAGTTGTACTGTAGAAGTTCACATTAAACTTAAGTCAAATAAAATATCATCTTTATACAGGGTGTCCCAAAAGTCAACGAGATCCTTTGGAGGACTGATAGACCAATTCATGGCAAAGCAGAAAATCAAAATATGACCTTAGTAAAAAATCGTTAGTTTTTGACATTTTATGAATCTTGTAAAACTTACACTTGACGATTAGTTTTTCGAGTGCCACAGCTACAAAATCTGCTATTAATTTAATTTTGAATTGTAATTAATAGCAGTCCTATTCAGGGTTTTTGTGTCAAGTTTCACAAAATTCATAAAAATGCCAATATCTTAAAAACTAATGATTTTTTACCAAGGTCATGTTTTGATATTCTGATTAGTCATGAGCTGACCTATGAGTCCTTCAAAGGATATCGTTGACTTTTGGGACACCCTGTATGTATATTGGTAAATTTGACACACCATATTAGCGCCATCTGTTTATCAATTCACTAGGCTTATGAAGAAATCTATTCTATAGTCGACTTTTTCAACATACAGAGGACTGCATAAAAAACGGCCATTGCTGTAGCATCGTTATTCCTTATCCGATATTTAAAATTTAAAAACCAGTTTAAATGGTATTATGTCTTCTATGATTTGACGGTTAAACATATTTTTTTTATTATGATGCTTGTGAGCACTGATAGTCAACTTTTATTTTTCAAATGACAACTATATTTTTTTATTATTTTTTCGCATTTCTTATGCTTCTCTGAGCATAAGGGTATATCAATATCATAATTTTAATTATAAAACACGAAGAAAAAAAATAAAACTGCGAACATTTTTACATATCACATTATTCATTTTTAAAATAATTATGTGTCTAATCTTGTAAAACGGTTTGGTTATTTAGTTATTTACATTTCTTGTACACAGAGAAAAAAGCCGTAACCATGGATACGCATATTATTAAATTGTAAGCATTTTGTGGGTGTCCTGATGCTACTGCGATATGTAAAAATTTTCGCAGTTTTATTTTTTTTCTTCGTGTTTTATAATTAAAATTATGATATTGATATACCTTTATGCTCAGAAAAGCATAAGAAATGCGAAAAAATAATAAAAAAATGTAGTTGTCGTTTGAAAAATAAAAGTTGACTATCAGTGCTCACAAGCATCATAATAAAAAAAATATTTTTAACCGTCGAATCATAGAAGACATCATACCATTCAAACTGGTTTTTGAATTTTGAAAATCGGATAAGGAATAAAGATTCTACAGCAATGGCCGTTTTTTATGCAGTCCTCTGTATATAGTTCGTATATAGAAATATGTCACCCAAGAGAGTCTTACTCAGGGATGGGCAAGATCCGGCAAAAAGGATTTAAATCTAAATCCATAAATCCACACCATAAACTGGATCTAAATCCTCAATCATAAATCCATTACATTATCTGGATTTAAATCCTGAATCCATAAATAAATCCTCTATTTTTTTTTAATATTTATTTCATTAATTTTCCAAGAACAGTTTCCGGATTATTTCAATTTTTAAGTTTTTTTTAATCTAAAACCCCTTGGATTCCAAATCAAAATTGATATGAACCTTATTGCACGTACCATTTCTGTTAGGTGGCTCAGGAGGCAACAGCGCATTTGTTAAACCCAGCACTGTCATTGACAAATCATTTTTTAAAATTTAAAATGCATTTTTGTGAAAACAAATAAATCAATTTACAAAATATAATTATTATATTTTATAAAATAGTTAAAATATTCTCACAAAAATGCATTTTGAACTATAAAACTCATTTTTTGAAATAATTTGTCAAAGTTTTTACTTTTGCGGCTTAATAAGCCGCATTACACGACGCAATTCCAATTCCAACTTGCATGATACCAACCGAAGAAAAATATTAACATTTATAAAAATAGTATACTTAAAGTACAATTAAAATTAAACTTAGCTCCTGCCACACGACATTATGATATATTTTATGTAATAGAATTAGGATACAAAAAAACAACATACAAATGACTTCAAAAAACAAACCAGGGAACCTAGGGAATTTAAAGTGTGGGTTGGTATGAAAAAAGTAACCAATTTTTCCATCAGACTTGCATGCAACTGGCAATAAAAATAGAGCAGGAAGGATCGTGCAAGAGTATTGCGTATTGCACGTAGAATTGCAGACTCTAATACGGGCTTTACTGATAGGTATGCATGTACGAAATAGTATATTATTTTGAGAAAGAATGGGTATAATCTTGGGGTACTATTGATTAAGAACCTCACAAAAGTAATACTAGGTATACTGTATACTGTATACTTAAATTAGTAGATGATTAAATGAATAAATGATTTTCAAAAATAAATAAATAAAATCCCAAATCAGTCAGTTGTCACTTTTTATCAATTTTAAATACACCGCGTCAAATTTAACATACCACTATAATTTTGACACAATTTTGATTATAATCAAACTATAGCCCAATCTTATTTTAACTTTTTGTTTTTTAATTCACCGCGTTATCTTTATTTAAAAAAAAAAAATATACGGTTAAATATTAAAAAACTCCAGTTAAATAAAAAAAATTAAAAAGAACGATTATAACAATAACAATAACAATAAAAATATGAACAAAATCAATAAAACCAACATTAAAGAATATCAATATCGCGTCTTTCCGCCTCTACTTCTAATTATGGCTTCACATCGACGGTTCATATTATCCCAAAAATGCTCAATGGGGTTGAGATCCGGACTATTTGCAGGCCAGTCTAAAGTTTCAACACCCACCTCATGTAAGTACTCTACTATATGGGTGGTGTGAGGCCTTGCCTTATCCTGCATCAGTAAAAAATTATTACCGATGTTCGGGGCGAAAGGGACAACATGCTCAGATAAAATTTCTTCGATTTATCGTACACTATTCATGGTACCTCCACGAACAATGACGAGTTCTGTGCGAGCTATCAAGAAAATTCCTCCCCAAAGAACCTCCATTAAGTAGCATGGTTTCACGAATGTTACGGACGTCGCCGATCAGAGCTGAATAAACAAAACCTGGACTCGTCTGTAAATAGTACACGCTGCATATCCTCAATATTACAGCCAATATGTTGTCTGGCTAATTGAAGTCTTGCTCTATGATTTGCATTTAACTTCGGTCCTGTAGCTGGAATTCTGAAGGTCAAATTCTGTTCCGCAAGACGTCTTCTTACGGTGGACACACTTGTTTGAAAATTATGAGTAGCATTAAGTTCTACCTGTACATTTCTTGCTGTTACAAATCGTTCTTTCAAAGCATGCAAATAAAGGAAACGATCAGGCAACACTCTTGCAAGACGAAATAAATAGAACCTGTGCTATTTTCCATGCAAGATCCTTGCAAGTCTGGTAACTTTTTATTGTTTTAAGTTGTTTTCTTTTATTTTGTATTGTGATACTGTGTATAATTTGTATGTTTTTTGTATTTAAACTTGCCAAACATATAATTATAGTTATTTTTTTCATTGATAACTTGCATAATATATTATATTAAGACTGACGTTTAACATCTCTTGCGCCAAACTTGCTTCATGTAAACGATCAGGCAAGACATTCGCAAGGCCTTGCAAGTGTCTTGCATTGCCTTAAACTTGCATCGTCTTTTATGTTTGTTGGTTTATTCAAAACGTCGAATAACACGGGATATTGAGGTATGATTAACTCCCAATCTGCGAGCTATGGCCAATATAATAATAACTTTAGACACCTTAAATGAAAATGACAGTTTCTGACATTTGCACACCATTATTTATTTTCCATGACCTACCTATGTTAAGTTCTTTCATTTTACATTAAACTGGATTTATTTAGTCTTTAACCGTATGTACATTAGGGTGGAGCGAAAAAATAAAAGTTAAAAAATTTAATTCTAATAGCTCGCAAAAGATGCGTAGGTTAGTTTAAAGCATTTTACAATTTAAAATTTTTTTATCTGAGATTTTTTCTTCCTCCATAACAGCCCTAACTTTTTAAAAATATATAAGTTGAAAATTTAAATTCTAATAGCACGCAAAAGATGAGTAGGTACGTTGGTTTAAACCATTTTACAATTTATTTTTTTTATTGAAATTTTTAAAAATATATAAGTTGAAAATTTAAAT